GGTGACCCAGTGCGGGTGGCGGGATCTGTTATCTGAGGCTCCACCGTCAGTGGACTCAGGCCCACACCTTTCCTGCAGGCCCAGGTGACCCAGCCCTGTGGGCTTTCCAAAACTTTAATCCTGTTGGAAGCAGCTTCCTCACCAGCTGCCGCGTGTGAGCCGCCAACCTCTGGGACAAAGTGAGAATGCTTTAACCACTCCGCTACTGGGGGCTGCTTTCTCATTACTCCCAAAACCAAGAAAAATCACTGCCATGAATTTTTACAAAGGACAGTGAATAACTGCCCCCTCCCCCAGTCTCTAATCTTTATGAAAGCTGAAGGTTGAGTCTCCTGCAGCAGCTCATGGATTCGAACCGCTGACTTTTTGCTAAGTGCCTGCGTGGTTAACCACGAGGCCCCTGTATGCAATGGCTCAGGAGCAGCTTTCAGTGTGTATGCGTTTGGCAGGTCTCTGCTGGTCATAAGGCCAGGCCTCGGGTCAGCAGGGGAGGGACAAGTGGTCAGAGCCAGGGCTCATGGGACAAGGGGACCACCGGCTCTGAGGTCCACATCAGGCTTCCTGGTAACACACAGAGACACCAGCACGAAACAGAGTATTTGGAGCAAGCCGAAGGTGGGGTCCTTTGGCCTGGAAGGCAGAAACCACTATAGGGAGTTTTACAGAAAGACTACATCGTCATGAGATAGGTCAAGGTGAGGCCAGAAGACCAGGGAAGAGAGGGCTCTGGTCAAAGTGATAGAGGAGGCTGCGGCTTGGGGGTGGAAGTTCACTCAGCAGTCCATACACGTCTGTGCCCTGTACATGTTTTATGTGTACACAGGTCATTTACTCCTTGTTGCGAGGCTCACATTGTGATGCGCTCTTCCCCTTTCCTCCCTGTGTGTCCCATTTCCACTCCTCCTCCTGGCCTCCCTCCTGCCTTCAGAGCTTCATCCTCCTTGGATCTGCCCTTTGGATCTCTGGGGGTTGATTGTTCTAAGGAGTGTTTACTCCCTGATGGACCTGTCCTTCTTAAAGCCCTGTGTCCTGTTGGCAGAGCGCTTGGGGTTCGTTAATCCACCGTAGTGCTCTGAACCCAAACGCGGTGCCTCGGGCGGTTCGAATCCACCAGCTGATCCACAGGAGAAAGGTGGGCAGGTGCCTCCCGTGGGGTTTCCAGCCTCCAAAAACCTACCTGAGTGTCCCCCGCGTTCTGTCTCACTCGGCCATGAGGTAGAGGCATCATGTGCCCGAGGGTTGCGAGTGGGGGGCATTTCCAGACTTGGAGGGAGAGAGGAGCTTTGATACAAAGCAGAACAGTGGAGGGAGAGGGGTGGGTAAAAAAGTCACACAGGAGGAAGGTCCCAGGGGCACAGGCTGGGACTTGGCCGTGGCAGGGCAGAGGCAGTGAAAGGTGAGTTGTTGTCACCTTGACAACCAGGATCAAGCTGGACCAGTCTCGCTGCTTCCTCCTCCCGGAAGGAAGCAATGCTCCGGTTTCTGCACGTTCACACACGTCTCCCGACCTCCCACGCCGACGGAGCCTCTACCCGGGACGTCTTCTCTTTGCTCTACAGGGCACACAAGCCATTCAACAACACACCGTCGACCCCTAAGCTGCTTGAGATGGAACCACTTGAGTCCCCTTAGATGCTTTTTCCTGTCCACTGCGAGTTCTGGCCAGCTCAGTGCTCTCAACCACAAACTCTAAGACCAGAAATTGCTGTTTGTTGAAGTCGCCCACTCATGGCATTCTGGTATAGAAGCTCTGCATAACCAAGACGCCATCCAGACTGGGGCCAGCCCGCCCAGCTGGGAGGGGAGGCAGCCAGCTGGGCGAGCAGGACCATGACGGGGCGTCAGCTCACTCACCTCCAAACTGAGCCTGCACACGCCCAGCAGCTCCCTTCAAAACCACAGCCCCCAGCCACCCTCTGCTGCAGGTCCGCACTCAACCACGGGCATCCAGGGTCCTTAGTTTCCTTGTGTTGCTGTAACAAATCCCACAAGGGGGTGGTTTTCAAGAACAGACATTTATTTTCTCACAGTTGATTGTCAGCTGCAGTCTAGTCAATTCCAACTCCGATATTCACAGCCTTTGAGCTCAGTAACATCGTTGTGTATCGTTGGGTCTGAACTGACCCACAGCCAGTCTTCCAGTGGGTTTTTACAAGCAGTGAATTGTGTGGGAGGAGATTGCCCGTCTTTCTCCCACAGAGCAATTGATGGATTCGAACTTTGTTCCTTTGGGTTAACAAGGCAACTCCTTACCATTAAGCCACCAGGGCTCTCTTGGCTCACTAGTAGCAAAAGAGAAAAGGTATCCAAAGGTAAGCAATCCTGTGCCTTCAAACTCAGGTTGTTCAAGAATAAAAACCTTAAAAACTACCATTGAGTGGAAACTGACTCCTAGCTGACCCTTAGCGGGCTTTTGGGAGGCTGTGAATCTGTCCATGTTTCTCCTGAGATACAGCTGGTGGATTTGAACCACTGGAGAGGCCCCACACACACACCCAGAGCCCCTTTACTTAAGAGTCAACCGTAAACTGCCCTTGGACTTCTGGGAGTCAGTCAGTGTTCATTGCTCCCCAGTGGACTGCAGTTAGCATGACCCCATGTGTGCAGAATGAAACGGAGTTTCCAAAGGCTGTGACATTTCAGAAGCAGATTACCAGGCCTGGCAGAAGCACCTCTGGATGGCTTTGAACCACCAACGCTTTGGCTAGTCATCGAGTGTTTAACTCTTGGCATCACCTCTAAACCACACCATTTGTCATCGGGTTCCAGCTCTTGCACTGTGCAGGACAGAGTCGAACCTTCCACAGATTTCCCCTGGCTGTAATTTATTTACACACAGCCAGACGGCCTCCTCTTTCCCCATGGAGTTCAAATCTCCATTCAGCACCTAGGACACCTAATTCAATACAGAGGGTCAGGAATGAAGAGGCCAGAGACCAGCTCTCCAAGAGACTTCATCTGTCTGGATGAAGAGCTTGAACTTGACCCTCAGAGACAGAGGGTCTGGTAGGGATGTTGGGAAGAGCTTCGTGGAGGACGGGGAGGAGGCTGTGCGGTGATTTGAGAAGGGAGATGAAATCTTGATAGTGGCCATGGAATCAGCACGCAGAGGTGGACGTGCTGCCACTTCTCCTTTCGAAACCCACAGGTGGTTACACAAGGGGCCACAGGAAGGAAGGGCCTGGGCCTGTCCTGCCCTTGTTACATGGTGTCCAGTAAACTTACAGCGACCCTATGAACAACCGATCCAAACCCTCCTCACCGTCTCTAACACGCTTGAGTCCATTGCTGCGTCACCATGTCAGCCCATCTCACTGGGGTCTTCCCCCTTTTTGCAGACCCCCCACTTTTCCAAGTATGATGTCCCTTTCCAAGGAATAACCTCTCCTAGCAACATGCCCACAGTATGTGAGGTAAAGCTCTGCCTTCCTTGCCTCCATGGAGCACTCTGGCTACACTTTTTTCAAGACTTACCTGTTCTTTTGACATCAATTCTTTTTTTTTTAAATTTTTTAAATTTATAGTTACATTTAATAGGGATTGAGCAAATCATAGATGTGGATAGAACAGGACAGGGTTCACAGATCTTTAGGGTCTGAACGGTTCATAGCCTACTGGATTCTACCTATCAACACCAACAGGGCTTTTTTAACAGCGAAATAACTAGGGTTCGCCAGAGTTCAGGGGCAAAGAAGCAATTGCTGCTTCCGGCGCTCAGCTCAGCTCAGTTCCAGAAGAGCCAGCATCCAGCGGGGCAGGGAGTGGCTTCCGGCGTCTGCTTTGTTACCTGCCGAGTCAGAGCTGAAGGCTCTGTTCCTGCTTTTACAGGGGAAAGTGACAGGATCTGGCACAAATGGGGAAAAGTCTTAGGATTCAGCCTCTTGAAGCGCTTCTCGACTTTCTCCGCAAGGAAATAAAGCAGCAGCGTAGCTTCACCCGGAAGCTGCCTCCAATTCTTCTTCTGACATCCATATTCACTGTCCAGCTCTCAGATGCATATCAAGAGATTGAAAAGACCGTGCCCTGAATCGGGTGCACCTTAGTCTTCAAAGTGACACCATTGCTCTTCAGTTTTTCAGAGTGGTCTCTGCCCAGTGCAGTACATCTGATCTCCTGACTGCTGGTACCAAGGGTGTTGGTTGCGGATCCTCCCTTGGGTCTCAACATCCCTTCTGAAGCCTGGTCACACAGCTTGCCATCAGCTCTTCTGTCCCAGCTTCTCCTTCCTAGGAGACGGAAGGTCTTTCCTGTTCGGTGCACGATCCAGACAGACCTTCAGTACCGAGCTCTGGTACATGCTCTGCATCATCCTCCCAGGCTCAACCCTGTCATTTTAATCAGCGTGTCAGTCCATCTCCTTGACACATCAGTCTGTCAGCAAGACGCGTGCGTCTCGCTGGATGCTCTGTTCACCTGAGACATTTTTCTGCTTGGAGCAAAGCTCTTCCTTAAGTACAGCAGGCTGTGCCATCAGGTTCAGGGCATGCTTATTGCACCAGTTGAACGAAACCAGGTGTGAAGGCTAAGATGCCAAAGAGCACGGTGGTAACATACCTCATGGATCCTGGCTGAAAGCAGAGAATACCAGAAGAATGCCTATCTCTTGTTTTATTGACTGTGTAAAAGCATTTGACTGCTATGTCATGGAGCCAGAGCCAGGGTGTAAAATGAGCAGATGGGATGTGAAGGTGGCCTAGTCTCACTTCTCCCTGCTCCATAAAGGAGAACCGTCCCCATCAGCATCATCCATAAACAGCAAACA